GAGAGAGTTAGAGAGAAAGAGAGAGAGTGTGTGTGTGAAAAACTCACTTAGTTTTGAAAAATATTTCACTTTATATCTTAAATCATTTTCCTTTGCAAGTAAATGTATCTTGATTTAAGAGTGTTTAGATATTTGTACTGGAAAACAAGACAAAGATACTTCTGAAGAAAATCTTTTTTCTGGAGTTTGGTCGAGGACTCACAGGTGTAGAGAATCACATTATCTATCAACATCATCCACTTTCTTGTGATTTTAATCATGTGGATTACGCTTGAATAAAAACACTTACTTTGTAGAACCTTTTCATATATCTGCTGCTTTTAGTGTGCAGTTCAACGCTTCAAAACAAATTAAGTGAATCATTTGCAAAGCAGTTGATTCAAACGTTCAAAAAGCCTCCTTTCAGTCACTATTTACAGCCACAAAATACTTCTTAAATCTCAACCCTTGTTTTTAATCTCAAATCAAACAAACTCTTCCCTGCTTTTAAGTGCTCTACTCTTTGATTGATCCATAATGACACTCACCTTATCACGCTCTGATTGGATTGCTCTAGTCTCCGCCCACTTGTCCTCCACCAATGAGAACACACGATTGAGCTCATTGATCTCAGCTGATCAGAATAAGGAGGTCTGAAGCTCCAGACCAGGTTTCTCTCTTTATTTATCTGTAGTATATGATAATAAAATGATCTCTTCTGGGTTCATATTTTGTGTAGTTCTAGTTGGTTGGACTGAAAGGCAGTGAAACTTAGCTGTTTGTGATGAGTGTTGTGATTGAGACACTAGAGGGCGCCGTGTCTTCATTACAAACACTCTGAGATCACTCAAGAAATAGATAGGATGCATGCTTGTTTTGTGCCTTTTTGTTGTCCTCAATATTTAGTTAAGCATGACAAAACAGTGAATCATTTGCAAAGCAACTGATTCATTTGATTCAAATTTTTAAAAAGCCTCAACTCAGTCATCGCTGTTCACAACCACAGAATACTGTCTTTCATTTTCAACAAAAAAATTAAAGTAATATCAGCGGTTCACTATAAACTTGGATTTAGTCTATGCCATAATACAGAAAGAAAATACAACATGCAAGGAAATTATGCTCGGAATAAGAAAGGCGTTTTATAGTTTGATGTCAGAGGAAGTACTTTTAATTTTCTGGATTATCAGGAAAGCATCGATGTTCTGCTGCTTTAAGAAGCCAGAAAACGAAACGCTGAATGAATTGAACCTCCAATAAAACATCAAGAATCATCATCGGCACATGAAGAACCATGAAAAGCCACAAATAATGCTTGCTTGAGTCTTTTTTTGTTGTTCTCTGTGGCTTGTTTTGAGTGTCAAAGCAGTGAGTCATTTGCTTCATTTGATTTAAATGTTCAAAAATCCTCTTTTCACTCATCGCCATTCACGACCACAACATACTTTTTGTCTTCATTTTTCAACTTTAGACACAAATGGCTCTTGGTCAGAAGAAACGGAGCAAAGAAAGATCACACATGAGATCTCTTTAACATCTCAGTTGTTTCTTGAAGTAAAAATGGAGTCTTTTGCAGAGATGTTACTCCATTTCTCTCATACATCTAGAGTTTGAGATCTTAGACTAGTGCTCAAATCTGCAATCAAACATCTCGATATGAACTCAAAGAGTCCTCTTCGAGCTGCTCCACATTCATTTTATACATTATGCATTTAGCAGATGCTTTTATTCAAAGTGACTTGAAGTAACTTGAAAGCAATTTGTCAAAGAGCCGATAATACTCTTAATATAAACAAAGCAAGGTTTATTAGACAACTTAAAAAAAAAAAAAATGAAGGACCATTGAAAATTATTTTACAAAACAAAGTGTACTTACAAAAATGTGACTGTGCATGAAGAAAATAAAACAAAAAGCACACGTTTCAGTTGTCTTCAGTGCTAAACACAAGAACATTAGTCAACAATATTTATACAAGTCTAGACACTAATTGGAGACACCAGATGATCAGCTGGATAGTTAATTAACTATACAATGACTGATTAATTGACAATTAACACCCGCATTTGTAAGTCTTACAAACCAACTCCATCATCAAAAAATAAATTAATTAATTAATTAATAAATTAAAAATGAATTAAAAATAAAAAAGTTATAATCATATTTTTTAGGTGATGAAATGTGCGCTTTTTTTTTCTATTCTTTGTGCACAGTCACATTTTTGTGAGTACACTGATGTTTTGTTCATGAATTTTGAAGTAAAATCGTTTTCAATGGTCCTTGACTCTTCTTTTTTTTTCTTCTTTCTTTCTTTCTTTCTTTCTTTAAAATTAGTTTCATTACTGCATCTATGCACCCACTAAACATGTTTCATATATAAATTGGAGCAGAACTTTTTCACGTTATTAGACAGCTACCCAGAATGTTCTGGCAGGGTTCTCTCAAAGTTATGAACAAACGTACAAAAATTCATTCAAAGTTGCACTCTTCAAAATAAAGGTGCTTCACGGTGATGCCATAGAAGAACCTTTTTTGTCTGAATGGTTCCATAAAGAAGCTTTAACATCTGAAGAACCTTTCTGTTTCACAAAAGCTTCTTTGTGGTGAAAGAAGGTTCTTCAGATTATAAAAAGCTAAGAAAGAGATGGTTCTGTAAAGAACCTTTGACTGAATGCTTCTTCTGTGGCATCGCTGTGAAGAACCTTTTAAGCAGCTTTATTTTTAAGAGTGTACCTGGTCTTTCATTTACTAATGTTCACACAAAAACATGATTTATACATTGATCATGGAATGATTTATTTCTGAAACATTTAAAAAACGTATTTTAAATGTTACACGTTTCAGAATGTTCAGAGAGCATTCAAATGTAACGTTCCCATGTTTGAAAAATTATGAAATGGAATGTTTTTTAAAACATTCGATTTTGAATGTTCCGAGAAAGTAAAAAAAAAAAAAAAAAATCATGTTTTAAAGGGAACGTTATTAAAACATTCCTTGAACATATTTTTTGTAGGTTGTGTAGATTATGAAGTAGAGTAGAAAAGTCTTCTAGATCTGTCGGGTAGAAACATCTAAGCCAAAGTTGAACTAAACAAAGCTAGAGAACATGAAGATCTTCTGTGGTTTGGTATCTCTGGAGGAAGTAACTCTTCGCTTCTCTTTTACTTTCCTTTTTTAACGTGGAAGTTTTGAGCAGCTGCTGGATCAACGGTTTGGAGGAAACGCTGACATTAACCCTTCGCTGTGTCCGTTCAGGGTGATGGAGCGCTCCGACAGCAACCGCATGACCACGCAGAACATCGGCATCGTGTTCGGCCCCACGCTGATGCGCCCCGAGAACGAGAGCGGAAACATGGCCATTAACATGGTGTATCAGAACCAGGCCGTGGAGCTGCTGCTGAGCGAATACCAGCGGATCTTCAGATCCTACTGAACACAATCCCAGACTGCACTGGGACACGAGGACGAGTCTGGAGACAGATGGACTCAGATCTGCATCATTACTCCACAAACTCACCGGAGAACACGACCGGGTCACATTTCAGCTCAGATGTCAGAAATAATAATAGTAACAAAAAATAAATTATATTTTGCATAAAGAAAATTCATTTTTAGGATCATTAAGATAACATAGTAATATTATTTTATTGTATAAACATCTTTTTTGACTGTTTTTAAGTTCTAAAAAATTGATATAATATTTTGCATGAAGAAAATGAATTCTTAGGCTTATTAAGATAACAGTATGATATTATTTTAATCACAATTAAAATAATTATTTTAATTTAAAGATATGATTTTAATCACAATTAAAACATGTTGAAAGCATGATCCAGGCATTTTACTTTATTTTTTTTTTAACAGTAATAATTATTTTAAGTTCTAAAAGATAGAAATTATATTTTGCATGAAGAAAAATATTTTTTGGGATCGTTAAGATAACCGTATGATATTATTTTAATCACAATTAAACACATTTTTGTCCTAAATTCTTGAAACATCCAGACATTACAATTTTTTTATACACTTTTCTTCGACAGGAATAATTCACATAAGTTCTAAAAAATAGAATTTATATTTCACATATTTTTAGGATCATTAAGATAATTTTGATATAAAGTCTCAAAGCATCCAGACATTTTACGTTTTTAATTGTTTGACAGTAATAATTCTCTTAAGTTCTAAAAATATGAATTATATTTTGCAGAATTTTTTTTTTTTTAAGTTAACATTATGATTGATTGATTTTAATCACAATTAAGGACATTTTGACCATAAAATCTCAAAGCATCATACTTTCTTTACAGTAAAAATAAAAAAGGTTTTATGCTATTGTACAATAGAAATAATAGTCAAATTATAAAACAGTAAGAATAATTAATTATAATTTAATAAATAATAATCTTTATGCAAAAATATAACTTCTGTCATTTGATGTTTTCGAGTGACCTGAAAATATTCACGACGGGTTTTTTGAGATTCACTCAAGCTTATTTGTGTGTGTGTGTGTGTGTGTGTGTGAGTGATTCGTCTTCAGATTTCATCCCTAGTGCCTATTAACCTTTTTTTGAATCTAAAATGATTCGCCACTCAGAGCTCCTGCAGATTTAATGCACGAGAACACAAAGGACAAAACACGTTCAAATAAAACTGGATGCAATTCTCCCCAAAATGCAATGCAATTCCCTTTCCATTGTTCCGATGCGTGTGTGTGTCTGTGTGTGTGTGTGTGT